CTTCTTTTGATGAGCTTCGATTTAACATCCATATTGTATGTATAAAAAATAATTTATATTTATCTTTATAACAATAATAAAATTATTTTTAATATTAATTAGAAAAATAAAATTATTTATCAACTAATATAATATAACACATGTAAGTCATAAATAACAATATCATTCTAAAAAAATAGTAAAATATTTTTTTTGTAAAAAATAAACTAAATTTAATATAGTTTTCTCATTAATTTTAAATTTAAGAATAATTTTTTAATATGTACCCGTGTAATACACGAGTGTTGTACTAGTTGTGAATACAACTACATATGTTGTACAAAATAATATTTAAAATTTGAAATAATATCTACTTTGTTATTTTTTATTTTTGCACTTTTATATGACAATATTTGTTTTTTTCTATAATTTTATGTTTTATTTTTTATTTTCAAACAACCCTTGTAGTACATGGGTGTCATACTCGTGTCTATTATATAGCTTACAATTACAATTTTAAACATATATTTTATAATATTTTTATTTTCATTAGTATATGCACTGAGTATTATTAACTTGATAACAATATTTTGTACAATATAGCTGACCTCTAATTATAGTTACTAGTACGCTACCCGCGCGATGCGCGGCCTGATGTTATAAGTGATGTGGGTACATAATAATTCAAATGAATGAAAAGTTATTCAATAAAAAGTATAATAATTTTTTGATTTATCACATCTTAAAATTTTTATTAAAAAAAAATATAACTCTAGAAACAACAATAATGTGCGACAGTTTGTGATTAAAACATAGAATATGTTTTTTCCTTCAAATTTTTAAAATTAAATTCATTAAACTTACAAAAAAGAAACATATATGGGATATTCAATATAATAAAGTATTTGTCATATTAATTTCCTGATATTTTTTTATTTATAAAATTGTCTCTTTAATAAAATAGTTTTCATTATCTTGAAACAAAATAAAGTCATTGTTACTATTATACAAATAAATTGCTATGCACATAATTAATGTTAACATATATGAGTCAATTAAAATTAAGAAACATAAATTGAATGCTTGATTAAAAAACCGAAAGACGGCCCAACCTTTGGTCTCATGTATCTAGTTTTAAATTAGACCCACATGTTTTACTTTTTATTAAAAAAAATTAAATATCAACCATTCATTTTTAGTAAAATAAGTGTGAGGGTGATATAAGAATGATGTGCATAATGGATCATTTTTTTGTAAAGTTACAGATAGGTCGTTAATCGTTAAAGTTCAAGTAAATAACATATTACTTGTTTTTCACTTGAAAATCATAAGAAATGTTATTTACTATAATTTTAGAAATGTACATGGACAGAATTTTTGTAAAGTAATAAGAAAAAAACATTTAAATTATATTACATAAATTCTAAAATAATAAAAAAATTATTTGTTTAAACAAACATTAATGATATATGATAAGAAAAAAGTAGTTGGTATATGTGTTCTATGAATAAAAAATTAATAATATTGATGACAATATGTTATTTTATTCATTTTAAAAAAAATAGCTACATACTTGAAGATCGATAAAAGTTAAAATGATGATAGTTTCTTTAATAGCAAATTGTTAGATTATCTCAAATTTAGACCTATATAGAACAAATGATACCAACTAAAAATAAATTAAATTAAATAACGATACATTTTTGGCTCAAACTATTTAATTAATTGGTACTGAAATCTATACAAAAAAAACTTGTATAATATAGATTTTCACTGAATAATAGAATAATAAATATGTATTTTCTTGCCCAGTCTTCAAAATAAAAATCACGCCATTATTGTTCCCTCTTTCTTATGGCTGGGATATTCTCACTCTTTCTGTCATCATTTTCTTTCTCTTTTTTTTCTCCTTTCACAATACTCATTTCGTATCATTACCCTATCGCTTACCCATAAACGAAACCTAACTTCATGTCATGTTCTAACACAAAACCATCTCATTTTTTTTTTTCGCATACAAACTTAACAGTGTATGTCCGTCTAATTGTGAACAATAAGAAAACATTAGGTCTATATATCAATATATATATATATTTTATAGACTTTTAAGATACTTTACTTCCAAACTATATTCCTGAAACATTCAAAATGGTAACAGTCAATGTTAGGTCAACACCAACACTTACTTTACATGGAATTTATAATAATTTTAATTTAACTTATTTTTTAAATACATGTTGATAAATTCATGAAAAATAATAAGAATAAAAATATTTAAATTATAATATATAATTCTAAAATAATAAAAAGTAAACAAACACTTGTGATATGTAATAAAGAAAATATAATTGTTGCATTTAGTATGTTGTGTGAAATTTTATCTGTCACAATCCGGCCATTCTAAAAAATTTAATGATCGATATATAAACAAAAATTAATAATAAGATTACCCATTAGGCATTTTCTTGTCAAAAATATATTATTATATAAATATGGGCCAAAAAATAAACTAAAATGGGAAAAAAAAACTATGCACATACGTTTAAATGGTCTCTTCAAGATTTTGGAAAAGCTAAAATAAATTGTACTGACGAAATATTAACAAAATTATACAAATTATGTATTTTGGCCAAACAACATACTCCTAATCACAACAAAATCAATATGAAAATGCCTAATATATAACTGGAAGTTAATTAAAAATTGAACGATATATATGTATTTTCCTCTCCATACTTCACAATCAAAGCTATTTTAATGTATTTTGAATATTTTTTTATGATTATGATATATAATGCTCCATATGAATATATTAGAACTCTTTAAGAATTAAATATTTTAATAGATTTTTTTGGAATTTGTTTCGTCATGTTTTCTCTTTTTAAGTTATCGATCAGTTGAAAAAGTAAATATGGATATATTTAATAAATATGAGGTTATAATTAAACTTGGACTGGTCCACCAATCAATAAGAACAATTTAATAATCATTTGTGAAGATAGGAAAAATGTAAATGAAAAATTGGATTGGAAATTTACAATAATAATATTTTTAAATTAGCCTTTAAAAGAAACAATATTGATATTATTTGAATTATCTATAACTGCTAGGTTTTCAGTTTTTATGCTGTAAGCTTTTATTTTGCCGCATTATATTGGTCTACATAGAATTTGACGAATTTGTTTCAAATTTATTTGACCATGAAAATTGGAGTGAAGTTTCCAATGTGTTATTATGTACTATAAATTTAATTCTATTGTTATGATTTTGAAACCTAAATCTAAATAATTTTATTTCCCAAGTAGGTTATCCGCATTTTTTTAGACCTATTTTCACTTGGTTTACACCTTGACCCAAAAAAACCTATAGATGCATTTTTATTTTTTTATTTTGAACATTATGTCTCTTCTAATTTAACTACATGTAGAATTTAACTTTATTATTTTTGTCATTGCTTTCTCTTTGTATCTTCTTTCTATTTTTGTTTATATGTATAATATGTTTCAATACAAATATGTCGATCTCATAAACATAAATAAAGTTTTGAAAGAAAAATATTTTTTATTGATATTTCAATTGTATAGATATGTATATACTTTTATTTTGAGAATAATTGTTAATATGTTATAATTTTCTGTTTAGTTTTTATGATTTTTTGCAGTGAAAATTTTACTCAATGAATTAAACATAAATACATCCTATAAAAATGATGTCTTTTAATCTTTTAAATTCTATAAACTTTTGTTTTACCGCATTATTATAATTAAATATATGTTAGGTTTTATATTATGTGGTTACGAATTTACAATTTCAAAATGACCCACAATTGTGAAACATGTATAACTAAATTAAGACTACATTAGGTTCTTATATTGTGGTTTTATAACGAAAACATAATATAGTTTTATAATTTAAAATATCCAAAGTGGAAGGTTTTAAAAATTTAAAGAAATAGTCCATTGAGGACAATTAATAGAAAATTTGACATTAATCATTATGTTTTTTTTTGTTTGATCTAATTATTAGTTGTATAGAGATGTGTAGAATTAGCACAACATTCTAAACAATTATCAACTTATTCAACATTCCCAATAATATTATTATCTATTATACACAATTCCAATAAGACTTTTAATTTTTAGACAATATTTATTGATTTTATCAAACCATTAATGAGTAACATTTAATATAAAATGGGAGGGAAAACAAATTTGTTTCCAGCTGCTTCAGTTTAATATATATATAGATTTATTTTTCGTCAATCAAATTGATATTCAGCTTTTAAAAATTTTATTTTATAATTTAATTCCATTTTTATTTGGAAAACTATACTTAACTCACCAAATTATAGGGCTTTTTGCATTTTACTCATTCAACTTTTTTTCGTGTCATTTTGTCCATATAACATTCTAAATAATTGCACTTAACCAATTTCCAGTCATCGTCCGACCATTTCTAAGGGCAAAGTGTAATAAAAAAAATTGAGTGGGTAAAGTGTAATAAAACGTACAAGTGAATGAGTAAAATGTAAATGAATGACTGAAAAGTCACTTTTGCCTTTAGAAATTCCCGACGATGACAAAAAATTTGTTAAGTGTAATTTTTGCAAAGTTATATGGACAAAGTGTCACGTTGAGTGGGTAAAGTGCAAAAAAAAAAGGTAGGTAGGTTAACCGTAATTTTTTTTTTTTTTTTGGGGACTTTGTCTTTTTAGTTTTTACCATCTCCGCAATTATAATTTTCTTTTCCCTTTTCACTCTCCGTCCCGTAGTCGAGACACCGTCCCCACGTTCATCCCATCACAGCTGTCTTCTCGCCGGAAATTCGTTCGCCGTCGCCGCCCTTTTCGCCTCCGGCTCCGCGTCTCACCTCGATACACCTTACTCTCAGTGTTCGTCGGCCCGACGAAGCTAGTATCGCTGTAGTCGCGCTTCCCTAAAACCCTTTATTTCGAAAAACCCTAACTACAGTGTGACTCCAATACTAACCGTAGACAGTGTTGATAACAGGAGTTTTAGAGTATGGCATCGGAAAATGGAGGCAGCACAGATGTACTGATGCTGGAGGCGCCGCCTCAGTCGGCCGTGGCTCCTCAAGCTGAAATTATAGATGCTCTGCCTTACATTGACGACGACTATGGCAACCAAGTGGTCAAAGAGGAGGTTGACCGATTGATTGAAGAGGAGATGCGCCGCAGCTCAAAGAAGCCTTCTGATTTTCTCAAAGATCTTCCCCCTCTGCCCAAATCCAATTTTCAGGTCTGTGCAAAGAATGTGTTTTTCTGTGTGTGTTGAGTAGCTTTGCAGATGGCCGATATTGGTGTGGGTTGCCCCGGTTTTAGAGCTTGGTTTTTTTTTTT